ACTTATTTATTCAAATATTTATATCCCACTTTTCCCTGTGACTCAAGGCAGTATCCCACTTTTACTGTGAAGCATAATAGGGGTGTGCAAAAAAAAAATACTGATTTTTTCTGCTCCTCCATTATAGCCTATGGGGACCATTAGAGTCAATGATGAATCTGACTATATTTCTACTGCTTGAGGAATAGAATGATTCAGAGGATTGCTTGCCTGTTCTGATGGTATGCCCTCTACTTCTTGTCTTGTGACTTCCACAGTAGAAGGGACCAGTAGCTGCTGGTGCCTCGCCTCAAACCCCCCCCCAAATTTCAAAAAGATTGGACCAGGGGACACAATTCTATGGGCCCCAGAAGGAGGTATCCTCATCCTCCATTGTTTTCAAAGGAAAGAAAAAATGCTTGTGAACTGGAAGCTAAAATCTCTGAGCAGCCAGCTAAAAAGTTGTGCGCCAGCACCCCCAAGCACAGCTTAGAGGGAACACTGGTAAGAGCATCAGTTAGGACCTCTCAGGGTGGGTCTCCCAACTGTGAGTGTCCCTCCACATATTAGCAATGACACTGACATCACCCCTGTTTTTTTGTTACTTAATCATGAACATTAAGAAGACCTGGAACCGGCTGGGTTTTTACACTTTTGGCTGATATTCCATGTGGCAGCTACACAAACAGGAGGAACTCGGGTATGTAAGGACAAAATGGAGAGCAAGGTAGAAACCAGACACTCCTCCTGTTCGCTGTTTGACCTTGAAGCCCCCTGACTAGACTCTCACCCCTCATGCATACCTTAACTCGAAGGTAAAGGAAAGAACTGGAGGCATCTGCACCCTTAGTGGACTGTAAGACGAAGTGGCGGCACCCGCCAGCTTTGGCTAATTCTGCGGAGTGCTGAATATAATCCCGGTCGACCCGCACAAATCCGGCCTGGACAGTTGGGGAGAGTAACATTTATTCATTTGAACTGGGGGAAAAAATCCTCATGAGTGTTCACAGTAGGCATAACATATTTAAGACTATGCATTGTGTAATAAAACTGCGGTGGTCAAGGTTCCTTCCAGGACATTCAGTTGCTGACCTAAAAGTAGCAGTTTTCTCACAAAGGAATTTCAAAGGGAGATTAGAACTCGACTGAATCAAGACCTAGGTTTCCTGTCTCATTACCAATGCGATTTCTCCACGTCTGTTACCCCTCTGCAAATCTCACCTAAATCCAATCACACCTGCTATTGTCCTTCACTTGCTATTGTCATTTGCCAGCTAATGTCATTTGGCATCAGAAATCACTCCACTTTCCAACAAATAGGACAGACGGACTCCCATTCTAGCTGTATCTGAAGAAGTGAGCAGTGAGACAAGACAATGCATCCTCCTCGACTGAATCAAGACCTAGGTTTCCTGTCTCATTACCAATGCGATTTCTCCA